CCCCTTCCAACCCTCTGCGTTCTATCCCCGCCCCCTCGAATCCCAGCGTCCAATCCTCTCCCTCCGTTCGCTCCCTAGCCTTCAGCCTTTTTCTACCCGGCCTGATTTCTCTACCATTGGCTTCCCGGGTTCTAAGCCGCTCCTCTCCTCTGAACCCCAGGTTCTTGAGCTTCCCACTCCGCTTTGTCTCACTCTCCCTCTTTGAAAAACGAGGCTCAGCTTGGTACTCATAGCCCACCTTTGGGTACGTGTAAAGTCACGCGCGTGGGTATCGAGCCGGAGCGAATCAAAGTTCTACCATCCCGAGGAGGGAGGGCTACTTTGGGGAGTTGGGCCCGCCCACCAAAACCGCCCACGGAAAAAGCAGCTGCGCGGATTGAGTGGTGCGAAAGGGAAGCTACAGCAGATTGGATTCAAGTGAGACAGGCAGAGGGACTTCCGTGTGGGAAAAGGTGCACGGATAAAGGGGGAGAATATGTCACAGACTGAGCTCAGACTGGGAGGCCGGAATGGGCACAGACAAGCAGAGGCTGAAACGTGAAACTCGTTTTATTAGGCTCTGGACGATAGTATTCTTTGTACATGCTAGGTCCGGTGTGCACCGGGTCCAGCCCAGTCACAGCCGGGGGGAGACAGTTTCTGAGTGAGCCCAGGAGATGGAGGGCAAAAGAAACTTGGGATCGTGGCCCCAATACACAGGTAGGTAAGCTGAGGCCAGAGGAGGAACAGGGACGTGCCCGACGTCACCCAGCCAGCCGGGCACTGCGCTGGCCTCTTTTCTTCGGGCCAGGGTCATAGAGACGGAGCAGGACTCTGGCGTCGCGCTTACGGCGGCGCCCGTAGCTGTGGGGGTCCTGGGGCTCGCGGCCGGCCTTCCCTGAGAGCTCTTTGGTGGAGGCAGAGCTGAGCCAGTATATAATCTCTGGCAGGCGGTGCGTCTGGCATGTGCCCAGGGAACAGAGGCGCCTGCGGTTCTGGGCGACCTGATGCAGGGGCCGTCTGGGGAAGGAGCATGGGAGAAGACCGGGTTCAAACAGAATCCTCTCGAGAAAGGGGTCTCGGTGGGGTCGGGGCACCCAGAGCTCCGCCACAGGGCAGGCGCGTGTACAGATGACCATTCCACCGACGCGGAAAACCGTGGCCTGAAGAGGGCGCACGCTCCTCGCGGTCTCCTTCCCGCCCGGTCCCCGCCGCCACCCGCTTCTCACCTGCCCGCAGAGTCCGGGTCCCCCAGGATGGAGGAGGCGAGAAGCAACAGGAGGACGTGGGAAGTCATCGTGGGGTGGGGCCGGGAGTGGTCCTTGAAACCCCTGGGCGAAGCGGCCCGTCTGGAGTGCGGCCCCGCCCCCTCCCGACTCGCGCTTCAGCGCCAGTCCCCACTCCCCCGGGGGGGAAAACCGAGGCCGAGTCCAGGTCACACCACGCCAGAAGGGGAGACAGAACCTGGATCCCCACGTCCTGTCCTTGGCGTCGGAGCCCCACACGGGTGTGCTGGTCGCGCAGCGGCGCTCTGACCCTGGGAGGCCTCTGGAGAGCGACCCTTTTAAGGAGGGAAGAGGGGCGGGGCAGCTGACACCTGCTAGTGGTGACACAGCTTAGGGCTTCCAGGAAAGGGGTGGGGGCAGGGAGGCGCTGGGCTTCTGGGACTTCAACCTCAACCCATCAGGGACCCTGCCTTCGAATGGCCAGGCTCCTTCGTGGGCAGGACAACGCGGGGCATGTTGCAGAGCCACCCGGGGGTGTGGACAAAGGGAGTCTGGGCCCCAGAATAGCCGGCAGACACCATCCTGGAAGGGGAAGAGGTGTAGACAGGTGCGAAGAGCCACAGGGCCTAGGGCTTCAGCTGTACTGAAGCAGGTGTCAGCAGGGCCATGAAAAGGAAAATTCTGGTGGCTTAGGTGGTCCAGGTCCTGGGACAGCATCCTGGGGGACGAGGGGCTCTGTACACAAGGTCGTGGGAAGGGTCGGGTGTGGATACCATGCCTGCAGCAGAGGCTGAACAGAGGGTCCCTGGGGAGCTGAGGTTGGGATAGCCTCTGGGGAGGTGGGGAGGCCCTGTGGCCCTAGGAGGGGACCCTTCCCTAGTCCCCCAACTCCAAGTTCCAAGCAAGGCTGGGGAGAGAAGCAGACACCCCCTCCCCACAAGTTCTATCCCCTAACAACCCCCCCATGACTCAGTTTCCCCAGCGGCAGCAGCAGGCAGGGCAGCAGTCACTGCCAGTCAGCCCTGGCCTGGCCTTGGAGGGTCCCAGACAGGAAAAAACAGCCAGAGGAACAATGTGTGTGCTGGGGGGGGCGGCGGGGGGAAGATGGCTTTCTGGGAAACCTAAGGGCCCAGCTGTGCTGGGAACCCACACCCCAACCCTCCCCCAGCCCAGCAGGGCAGTGGAGCGGGAGCCCTGCCCAATGGGGACAAGTGGGGCCTCAGGGGGCATGAGTGAGGGGGTTGGGGGAGGACACAGGCCCGGAGAGGCGGACGGGGGAGGCGACCCTGGTGGAGGGTGTGGACGGCAGAGACCCCACTCCGCCCCCCAGGAAGCCGAGCCGTCCCAGCTGAGGATTTATTGGCGTAAATGCAACCATATAAAAACATAAGTTATGAAAAACACAGTCACGATGTGCCCCCCCCCCCAGCCCAGGCCCCTAAAACCCCCTTCTGAGGGAGGGAAGGAGAGGAAGGGGGAGCCCCCAAACTGCCTAAGGATGCAGCAGCCCCTGGGCCCGTGCAGGGCCGGCCCGGCCGGGGTGGGAGAAGCCGGGCGCCGCCTCAGCGCATCCGGTAGTCAGTGGAGCAGGACAGCTCGCACAGCTGGCCCTTGAAGTCCAGGTCGATGGTGAAGTCCAGGTCGCGCTGTGGGGAGAGGGCAGACGTGAGGGGCGCACGCCATGGGGCAGGCAGAGACCCGAACCGTCGGGAGTCGGGAGGCAGCAGCGGGGCGCGCGCTCCCAGGAGACCCCGCGGGGTCTTGTTTTGGTCCAAGGCCAGGCTGGAGACTCCCCGGGGCCGGACCCACCCTCAAACCCACCTGGAGCCCGGCCGAACCGGGCTGCTCTGTCTCCCACATCCCGAGATCTTTCCCTATCCCAAGCCATTGGCCTCATTGCTTTTGAAGAAAGCAAACCCCTCTCCAGCCAAGCTCAGGGGTCCCAACCCCGCCTTCCGCACTTCCTCTACTCCCAAGCTTCCGGGAAGCCAACACTTCCATGCTCCCCACCCCCCCAGGACTCCCCGGAAAGGCTCGGGGCAAAGTCACCTATAACCACGATGGCGCCTGCCCTCAGTCCTCGCTGCACCTCATCCCAGGCGCCCGGGCTCCTCTCCCATCTCTGGGCATCTCCCTGTCTCTTTAGCTCACCGGGTGTGTCTGTGTGTGTGTGTGTATGTGTCTGTCTGTCTGTCTGTCTGTCTCTCTCTCTCTCTCGGTCTCTCTCAAGCTCGGTACCACAGACATTTGGGGCCAGAGTGGAGGATGTTCCGGTGTCCTGGTCACCGCGGGATGCGCAGCGGCATCCTTGCCACTCCCGGGAGCCACCAGTAGCACTCCTTCTCCAGTTTTGAGAGCCCCAAATGTCTCCAGACAGGGACAAGTGCCCTCTGGGGGGCAGCAAAGCTGCCTCTGCTGGAAGACCTCCAGCTTCCCTTGGAAAGCTGGCGTGACCTCGGGGCCTCCTCCGTCTGTGCTCCCCGATCAGGATCCAGCCCGGGCGCACAGATCCACGCGTTGAGCCCAGGCCCCAGCCCTGGACTCCAGGCTCCAGAGCCTTCGACCTCCCATGTACTCGGGGTTTCTCTGGGGGTCTCCGACTCAACCTAGCTGAGAGGGCTGGGCTGCCGGGACCCCAGAACAGGCGGAGGTGCCCCTCCTGGGCCCACCCCCGAACCCCCGCAGCGCCTCACATTATTCTTGGCATTGGGCCGCATGCCAATGGTGCCAAAGATCTCCTCGCCCGTCTTCACGGTCAGGTAGTCCTCCATGTAGAACACGGTCTGCTTCCAGTGCGTGTACGGGGACTCGGGGCCTGGGGGGTGCGGTCGGGTCAGCCAGGACCGCCTCCCCCATCCCCCGGCCTTGACCGGGCCCTTCCCTCTGGCCGGCCCCTTGATGACCTTTACTGAGCGGTGACAGGGGTCACCATCCCCGAATCCCTTCACTCCCATCAAGTCCTGGAGAGGGACCTCGTTACTTTCACAGGTGGGGAAACTGAGGCAGGACAGGCTCAGGTGAGCTGGCAGAGCCGCGGTCACGACACGGGCTCCCTCTGCCGGCTGCTGTGGCACAGCCCCCACCCCGGCCCCGCCCCCCGCTCACTGGTGGAGAAGCCTGTCCTCTTGTGGCAGCGAGTGAACTCGATGTTGAAGTAGGCCACCAGCGCGTGCACGTAATCATTCCGCTTCACTTGCAGGCAGAAGGGGGAGGTGAAGGTCAGGTCTTCCACCTTGACAGTGTAGATGTCCACCTCCTGCGGGACAGGCTCCGTGAGCACCCCGCCCAGCGTTCGTTCGGCCGAAGACCCTGGGGGTGCCACGCGGCAGTCCCCAGTCCCCTCCCTCCCCCACCGGAAGCCCAAACTGGACAGTCCTACTTCCTAGAGCAACTGCTCGTGCTTGGAGTGTCACCCGTTACCCCTTCACCGGCGTCCCCCCGCCACGCTCGTGATGGCAGCCAGTGTGATGTGAAAACACTGGCAATGAGATCACGTCAACCCCCGGCTCAAAACCCTAGGACGGTTCCCCGGCACTCTCTCTGGCAGGGTGTCCGGCCGCCCATCCAGCTCCTGTCTCCACTCGCTCCGGACTTCCTCTTCCTCCACGTGGCTCTCGACCCACCTCTCGTGGCCAAGCACAATTCTAGAATCCACCCCTCTGTCCGAACCACGAGCGGGCTTAGCTCACAGAGCTTTTTGATGGTCAAGGTGGCTTCTCTGGGCCTCCGGCGCCACCTCTGGCTGACAGGTCAGACTCCAAGACAAACACCTGGACCTGAGGTCTTGCTCAGGCCCAAGTGGCGGCCCTTCCTTGTCTCCAACCCCGGGGACAACCTGGCCACACACTCTCCCCACCTCACCTTTATGAGGCAGGCATTGGTGACCAACTGCTTGGGGTCCACCACGTCCACCAGAGGCTCCTTGATGGCCACGTCTTTGATGCAAGACATGTCAAAGCCATATACGTTCTCCCACCCTGGGGAGGCAAGCAGGGAGGAGGGTGAGCCCGGCAGGGGGCGCTCAGGGCAAGCCAGTCCCGCCCCACGGGCGTCCGAGGGACCCAAACTCACAGTGGATCTTGTAGTCTTTGTACTGCCGGTCTTCGATGGCCGTCACATACAGCGTGGCCCGGTCTGGGAAGATGAGGCCATCGGGTGCCTGCCGAGGGGGAGGGGGAGGGTGTGAAGGATGGGGGGAGACTTGGGACACCGGCCCCAAACCTGGACAACTTGCGTCTCTCTATCCATCCACACACTCTATCTCCGCCCTGCCCACCTGGACTCCTACAAGCGGCCTCTTCACTGGTTCCTGGCTTCTGTCCTCACGCCCTCATCTAGGAGCACCTAACTCAGACCTGTCCTTCATAGGTTCTGAAGGATCTGCAGGACCCTCCCTGGCTCCTCTGAGAGGAGAAACCAAAGTCTCATGGGAGTGCTCAGGCCCCCTGCACGTTCTGTTTCTTCAGTCCACTCCCTGTCCCTCAACACACAGTAAAAACTCTCCTGCCCCAGGACCTTTGCACTAACTATT